ATGCGGAGTCTGATCCAGGGACATTCTCGTGCCAAGTTAAAACATGTTAATTAGAAACAAATTTATGCTTTTTAAACGGAAATGTAAAATATTTTAATATTCAAAGATGGCCCCCTGAATATAACTGCTAATGGAACAAATATATAGTGCTCCAAACACAAACATTCCTTCGGTGGAACTCGAAGGGAATGTTTAATTTTATAACCCTTCATCTGTTGGACACTTCATCCTACCTGTTCCTACATCTTCCCAAAATACATCCAAAATTATACATTCTGTAGTAGGCACAAAATATATTTCAGACACAGTAAGTACTTCAGAAATTTCTCCTCACTTATATGACGTCTGTTTAAAGAAGTGAAGTGAAATATTTAACAATATCCGGATTATTTAAAACAGTTGTTCTACCAGACCGAGACTGGTAAATCTATTAGGACCTATTTTGTTGAATGTTATCCTGATGATGGGTTGAGGTGGGGAAATCGCACCAAACTCCAGGAATGGATTCTACATGTTAAAATAATGAGGAAAAACTCAAACTCATGTTATACGATTTCCAAGTTCACAAGTAGGATACTTGTCAGAGTCATTTTATGTTGCAATAGTTTTACATTTGATTATACGTTTCTACAATCAAAGTGTTACAAAATGCCAAGAACTTATTCAAATTTAGAGTATATTTGTTTATGGTTTTGGAAATGGGAATGCTAATGCTGCTGTTGAAGAATATCGTCAACTGTTTCCACATCACAGATGTCCTGATAAAAATGTATTTATCACAGTTTTTAACAAACTGTGCGAAACCAACGAACTCATCGACAAGGCTTAGAAGAAGTAGAAAATATTCTAGGTCTAGTAATCCACAAAAAAGTGTTATAAGAATCCTTCACAAGCAAGGCTTACATCCGTACCATGTATAGAGAGTACAACACCTACAACCAGAGGATTGTGCTAAGCGTATCGAGTTTTGTCGATGGACAATAATAATCATCTTGTTGTATCCCGTATACTTTTTACGAATGAATCAACATTCATCCGTGACGGTTAATACTCGGAACTCTCATGTATGGTCACATGAAAATCCTCACGCAACACTCGAAAGTAATTTTTAGCATAGGTTTCGGTAAATGTGTGGTGCAGTATGATCGATAGGTAGTTATTTAATTGGTACTTTCATTTTGGAGAATCGACTCACAGGAGACCATTACTTATTGTTTTTACAAAAAGAGTTACAAGTTCTACTAAAGGATGTTCCTAAACATGAGATGCGAATTTACTACCAGCACGATGAATCTCTTGCACATGTCGCTCGTCCAGTCAAGCTACATTTGAACGAGAGATTCCCAGGGCGTTGGATTGACCGCGGTGGTCCTATTAGTTGGTCTCCGACATCTCTAGACCTCATAACTACAGCACTAGATTATTGTTTATGTGGCTGATTCAAAAATGAAGTGTGCATAGTTAGTGAACACTCAAATGGCACTAATTCGATGTATCATCAATACTGCAACATTTATTAAAGAAAGACATGCAGCAAATTATGTGATGATATTTAATTTTAGGGAATAAATAAATAAATTTATTAAGAACTATTGATATGTTCATAAGTTTGATTATTATTATTAATACACATTTCATAAATGAGTCGTTGTTACGATCGCTTTAATAGTTATATAATATGAATAAAGTACACACAAAAAATGTCACATCAGTAGTTTCATTGGATTTTAATTAATAACCCTAAGAGGACAAAAAAGCGAAGACTATCTCGCTGACGTAAATAAAATGGACGAGGCTGGCTTTCTTTTTGCACAGCGTCTCTCCCTTAGAAAAACGTCACATTTGGTTTCACGTGTCTCACGTTATTCTGCGTCCAATGTATTTTCGAATGAAACTCAAGGATCCATAAAATAATCTGTCACAAACTTATCTCATAATTCTTTAAGACCGCATTTCTACTTTTATGACAAAATATAGAAATATCATAAACAAGGTACAATCTGTTAACCGAATAAAATCTAAATCTACAAAACTGATGCACAGCGTTGAATTTGAAATCGGTAACTGTTTATTTAATTTTTATTATGTACGGGGTTAAAAATTTTCTTTAAATTTATTTTATGCAATCTCAGTAGCTTTACATGCTCATCAGATTATCTCAGTTTAGAATAGAAACTCTATTTATGTATGTCTTCATTTAAGCTGTTTTTTTTACTTTTGAATGTTTTCCATGATATGCATCATCATGATGTTTGTGAGCTTTTTTTTAACGCGACGCAATTTACGAATTCTTCTTCTTTTCCGATCATTTATTACATTGCTCAGGTGTCGAATATTTGTCCCTTTAAGCATTAACTCATTTTTTCCATGCTGCTCAGCTCTTGGCTTTTTTTCTAATTTTCCCACCTATCTCTTCTATTCCTTATTCCCATATTAGTTTTCCTCTTCTTACCTCTGTCTTCCTCACTTCTATTACCCTCAACCATGTTGCTATTTATTCTGATTATTATTACAGACACTTAATGTCGTGTCTTTACCTATATCACTTTTTCCAGATACAGTTTTATTGAGGGTACAGTTTGGATCATTTGCCTTCATTATTCTGTTTCCACGTTTGCTTTTTCTTCTTGTATCATATTGGTTCCCATATGTGTTAATACTTTATCTTTTTCCCTTGTTTATACTGTTCTATTATCTTGGTTCCGCTGTCTCATATCACCATTTTACTTTTTCTTATACTTCCTGCCTCTATCCATGTGTTGGATAAATCTTTGGCATAAGTTACAACTGTCAATTTTTATGGGTTAGAAGTTTTTGTATCCTGCTAGGGATTGAAGGCTTTTTTGGGCAATATGCAACGTGTTCGACCTTTACTTTACTACTTTTTGACTTCAGCGACTTCCTACAATTGCTGTGTATATTTTAAATACCATGGAAAATAAACAAATTATTCTATAGTTACCTTAGTATTCCGTTTTTGTAGACTGGTAATGCATTGTTCTCTTCCCATTGTTTTGGTAATATATTTGTTTTCCATAGCTTCAGTAACCATTGTTTTGCCTGTTTCTCATATTTTGTCATCTCTGGACCCATTTCATCCGGTCCCTATGCTTTTGCTACCTTCACTTTACTCAATACTCCTTACATAATAGTTAATCCCTTGTTATTTCTTCCACCACTGCTTCTATCTTTATATGTTCTTCTCACACCTGCAGAAGGTCATCTAGTTCTCGGAAATCTCATAAAGACAATTTTAACATATTCTTCAGCCATATTACCTTCACAAAACTACCACGACACATGGAGTTATACAAAAAGTGTTTTTTTCTGAAACAAGGATTTGGAAATGCTTCAGCAAAGAGTTACAAACTGACAAAGGTGATCTGCCAAAAACACATGTTTTAATCATTCTGAAATGGTTTATAGTATTTAAATGAAACTTGGTGCAGTAATCTTAGTAGGTTGTCAGTAGCAATTACATGGAGAATAATTTCTTCCTTATTCACACTGGCGAAGAATGGTTTTTTATCTCGTCACCGTAACTTTTTCAGGTCCATATTTACTTGAAATGATGTTTCCTACTTATAGTTTCAAGATGGAACCATATTTTAGAAATAACCTTTGTTGTAACATAAGATAGTAATTATATAGCATTATTTTTGCGTTTGTCATAATTCTTCAAAATAATTTTAAAACATGGGAATGATTAATGAGATTAGTGAACAGGAATTTAAATTAATCGATTGGCTTTGTCATGTTTTGTTCACATACTTATGATTTATTCTCAGCGATTTCGCTTATTTTGTTGCCAAGTTGACAGTGGCCATAATGATATGAGGGATAGCTGATAATGGTCAGTACAAAACCTAAGTTTGCAGCTGCTAGCAAGTGCATACCATTACTTGGTGGTCCAGTTAACTTGGTCACCGAGAAGTCCTGATTTGACCATCATGGACTTGTTCTTTTATAGTTATGTTAAGAATCATGTATACACAAACCGATACGACAGTGAGGAAGAATTGAGGATAAATATTTCAAGATTAATAAACTCAATACCTCCTGACATTATTCAATCTGCTATTCAGAGTATTTATGAATGAGTGCAAAAGTGTATAAGTAGTAGTGGTATGCACTTTTGAACATTTGAAATAGAATTTAAATTTTCCATTTAATTTTTTTTGCTATCTAAGTTTTTTTTTCGTTGCTCTTGTTATTGTTATGTAAATAAAGGTTGCCGTGTTAAAAAGTTTAAAAAATAAAAAATATTAAATTCATTTATAGAAAAAATTCGAATGTTACATGGCTATTTGACTTTTTTATTAAAATTATAATTGTATTCGATATTTTGGATATTTACGAGTATTTATGAAAATCCTATAAATTATATATCGTTATAAAGAGTAAAGATCCCTTTTCTTTTAATGAGGCAAAAATTCAATATGACGTCCATAACAAATACAAAAGTTAACTAATATCAGAATACACATTTTTGTCCAAAATTTCGAAAAACAAGTGAAATGCGACTAAAAGAAGAAATGGCATAAAATCGGTACTTGTACTATTGGGAATTTTCTAAATTTAAAAACGAATCCACAATCGGCATAAAATTCTGCACGTTTTGTTCCTTTAACCATTTCTGTATCCCTTAAAATAAGAAAGATACTTGTATTAGACAATTAAAAAGTTATAATCCTTTATTTATGATTTATCAGATTCCGTTTCCGTTAGGGAATTATAAACTCCATTAATATTAATTTTGCAATTACCAAGGAATTTTCTTCACGAAATTTGATACAAATATAATTAAAGAGATACATTATCCAGTGGCGTAGTCAGATTTTATAAAAAAAACACACTAATTAAATCGGACAAAAAGTATCTCTTTTACAAGGACGTTTCCATTTAAAATTAACCATCCTGTATACTATTTCTTTTAACTGATGATGTTCTGAAATCTACAACCTTTACACTTACCCGCATATATCATATTTATTTTTCAGATAAATTCCCGCGACGAATCCGAAAAGACTGTAAAAGTGTCACTTCCAGACGCCGCAACCGCAACCGTATACGTACGCGATTCGATGTCGGTGGAGGAGTTCTTGGCTAGTGCTTGCGCCAGGAAAAACCTCAACCCCACCGAGCACTTTATCAGGGTAAAGAAGCGTAGGGAAATGGAGGACCATAACTATTTTGTGCCGCACAGGAGCGATCTGATTGAAACATATGTGAGTATTTAGATGTGTATCTGTTTAAATTTACGATCGATTCTTTCTTGATTCCTTCGTTTTTTACTCTTTCCGTGCAAGCGAGGCTTTCACTTAACTTCGTAAACAAGTTTGAGCCATATGGAAAACAGTTTATATAAGTTGAAAATCAATCTTACTTTGCCGGATATCATTTAGAAATCAATCGTATTTTCTATCAGGATTTAATAATAACTGTTTTGACAAAGTTAGTAATAAGTTTCAAATGCACATGTTGAGACAAACTTTCAGGACTGGTTCCTCTCATCTGAACAAATAAAAAAAACAAGAGCTACATCTTCTGCAAAACAATCTTTCAGGAACAACAGTTTTTGGTCAGTAACTCAAGAACGATTGAAGATATAGAACTTGGTACCTACTGTGCAATCCTCAAATAAGAGTTATCTACATAAAATATTTCAACAGGAGCTAATCAGTTACGTCGAAATTAAGAGACGTTTCAAGTAAAAACAAATCTTCAATCCTGAAAGCTTGTCATAACGTCGTCTTATAACATAAAATTTACACCTACAAAAGATTGTTTATTAATAATAAAAGTAATTTTTCACTACTAAAATGCTTTTTAAGTGTATAATAAATATCATTACATTAAATTAGTGAAATATTAAAATCATTTTATACTGAAGAAAATGTAAAAAAAAATATTTATGGATGTAGTGTACACTATTTGTTGTGAAACAATACTATATAGGTATAGAGAATTTATATTTAAAATATGCTTTTCTAGTGATGTGATGATAACATAGTCGAAGACAAAAGTATTATTTACCTAGCAACCGCAGTTATTAGTTACACAGTAGTATTTTTTTTAATAGTTCAGGGTTTGTCATTTTCTGTAAAGGTTCATCTTTTGATTTGGGAACATTTCATATGTTTGTTTCTGAAATAGCATTTGTTTAGTTTACAATTCACTTTTGTAAGTACTATGATACTTAACATAATTTATTTTAAAAAGTAATCGATAACATTTAAGTTGAGATTTGAAATGGTATGGAACAAAGTTATTAAAAAAAAACGATTGAATGTAGGATTTCGATACGACGATTTGACATACCTATAACGCTATTCATAAGGAAGATATGGCCAGAAGAGTGCGCTAGTATCTCTCTTTTTATTAGAGACTAGTGATGTAACGAATATCCGCATTCGCATTCGCATTCGCGAATATTCGTTTGATTTATGATATTCACATTCGTATTCGCAAATATCTTTGAATATTTTGCGAATATGAACGTGAAAGAAAAATACAAAATTTGAAAACAATATTAGGTTCGTTCAGCATCGCAAATCGTAAAATAAGTCCATATTTCACTAGAAGTTGATTTACTCATGTTAAGAAATAACTAACAATAGTCTAATTTCACAATTCACAAACTCATCTGAGCCGGTAGCGAAAACAAAACAAAATTCCAATCATAGACAAATACCGTTCTACCAACTTAACAACGCTAATTTCTTTAGCCTCTAGCGCCGCTGTCACCGAAAATATTATGTGCGTCGCGCAGCATATTTTGAATCATAGATAAACGGCGCTAGATTTAAAAACTGAATATTCGTATTCGCATTCGCATTCGCGAATGTCAACAACAGATGTTCGCATTCGCATTCGCGAATGCTTAAAAACTGGCATTCGTTACATCACTACTAGAGACCTATCGAACGTATTGTAATGTTGAAGAAGCAAATATTTAAAAATATACAACTTGTTCTGCCTAAAAAATATAAATTCGGCATGTATCTGCAAAACATTCAAATGTTTTTCTATGTACAGTTTTGAAATAACAAGAAATTTCCTTACAACTTGTACAACATGTACATGACTATTGATCATACATTTTGGATTTATTTTGGCTTAAATTTAAAGCTCGATTAAAAAAAGCATATTTAATTAATTAATAATTGCTCTTTCAAAAAGTTCTACGTTCTGTTTGATTAATGTTTTTATTCAGACGTAAGTAACAGATACATACATTACAAATTATTATATATTTCATACACTGTAAAAAAATCGGTGTGAGTGAAAATAATAACGGCTCGGAGTGAACCCATTGAGTGAAGTTATTGAGTACATTTTCACTCAATATTAGGCATTTTGATCATTTTACTTATTTGTGATTATATTGAAACTAAAACTAAGTACTTTCACAATAATTACGAGTAATTAGAATGGCGCTGTGAAGATGGCACCACTTACATATTGCTTTTGTAATCTCGACCACAGTTGGCGGAATCGCCAAGAGAACAGGCCTTAGCCGGTGGCGGCGGCAGCGGGTCTCAGCTACGACAGGAGGAGTGAATTAATTTCAACACTGTATATCCTAATTAATTATTTATGAGTGATTTATTTCTGCACTCAATATTTAGTTCTTTAAAAACCAAGTCTGAGTAAAAATTGACTCAGTAATAGTTAAATTTAAATCATATTAGAGAAAAAGTCAACTCTAAATTGGTTTTATATACTCAATAGTTAGCAGTAACTCGGATTTGTGTAAGACTCACTCAGTTCTGATGCAATAGTTTCACTCAGTTCTACTCATATTAATAGAGTGAAAATTTCGCTCAATCGGGTGTAGACAGAAATTGATATATTATTGATTAAAATTGAGTGAAATTTAAGTGAAATTTTTTCCGGTATAACATTATCATATTTTTGGTAATGTTCAATATTATAATAAATTATTAAAATTTGAGAATTTAACTAAGTACATACAGGGTCGGAAAGTCCCCATGGTTCATCGGCCGTTACGTGAGAGCGATAAAGAAAGCCATAGAAATCCGTGCGATAGAGAAAGATGGCTATAATGAAGGCGTCTAATAATCACGGCCCATTTCGCCCTTACACAAATAAGAAGTGGATCTTATTTGTGGAAGTGCGAAATGGGCGGTGACTATTAGATGCTTCCATTATAGCCGTCTTTCTCTATCGCACGGATTTCTATGACTTTCTTTATCGCTCTCACGTAACGGCCAATGAACCATGGGGACTTTCCGTCCCTGTATATCTACGAGTACATATGAAAATTTTCAGATTTTTTACAAAAATGGTAAGCTTCTATACTACTGCAAAATTTACCTCCTTTTATTTCTAATAAATATTTTTTGCAAAAACCTGTATCGCTATGAGCTCTTTATTATGTATGTTGCAATATTAATAATTATACTTTAATAATATTCTTTAAATAGTTTATAAGAAACGGTTATACATACACTTTAAGAAATAAAAGGAATTTTCATGTTTTATATTTTTAATAAAGTACGCTCGTACTCAGTTCCTCTCATTAATTATAAACATATGTTACGAAAAGCTGAAATAATGTGAAAAAAATATTTTTTTTCTAAATAGATCTTTTTACTTGTTTAACATGATCATGTGGCCCGTAAACGTCTCCTCGAGTATTCTGTTGGAATTGTTCCTCATATTCATGAAGAGATTTTACTTTAGATCGAGTTATCTTTCTAACTCTATTTTATGAAACACTTTTAAAACCGTCATGTTTCTGCTTCGAGGCAGCTTTAGTAGAATAAAAATTAACTTAATCCAATATATTCATATTGTCAATCCACTCCAACAGTGCGGTGCAATAAAACTTAATTTTGTCAATTATTTTTCATCACAGTGCAGTCTACAAAGCAAATTCAGGACACTTGTAAATTGTTCTCATGTATCCCATTATGCGTGGTCGATATTCTGGCTAATACATGGTTTACGTTTGCTGCATATTTTAAATTTAGCATTGTTATTGTCAAGTGAACAGGTGTGTAGTTTACTGTTTAATTGCAATTAAATTTAAATATAACATTTATTTAACAAAGTAAAACTTGTTAATCTGTTTCCATTCAGGGGAAATCAATTATTTACAAATAAAAAATCGGTTTTATTTTACATTATAGCATTTTACATAAGCTTCGTATTTTTAGTCAGGAAAATGTAAAAGGACGTAGATATTATACTAAATTCTCGGGAGGTTTTAAACATCAAAGTAACTAATATTAATTTTTTTAATTACTATGCAGGGTGATTCACAAATCGTGACAAAAAATGATCATATTCTTTGGCGAATTTTAAGGCGAGCCTTTCTTATAAAGTTTTTATCGAGGACGGTTCATTAAAAAGATACAGGATGTTAAAAAAAATAGTTTTAGTTCTTTTAAATAATTTAAAAATTAGTAAGTGAAATAATTTGAAATAGGGCACATGTATTTATGTAAACATTGTCTAAAATCTGATGCCTTTTCCTAAAATTTAGATGTTCCAGTGGCGGAGATACAGGGTATCGGTGACATATTTTTCTAAATAAAATAGAACGCCACTGCTTTACGGTAACAATAATGATATTTTCGGATTCGTCTATCTCTGATGTTTTTCGGAAAACGCCTGATTTTCGAGTAAAGCTTAAAAAACGCACTGAAAACACACTTTGATATTCGAATAAAATGCGGTTTAAAATTACATAGTAGGCTGCGATAGAAACTTTGATATTCTGAGCAGTTAGAAGAAAGAATAAATAATGCTTTTCATCAGATTCAAACAACAATAAATTTCGAATAAATTACATTTTCGTTACTAAAAACGTAGATGTCGTGCCTGCGTTCGTGGAAATGTAGGTATTTTTGAGCATTTACTCAAATAAAATCATTAAAATGATTACTAAATTTATTCATTTCTTTATTCGAAAAAATAACCGAATGATTAGTGTTTGTTATGTCATTTAAACAAAAGTGTTTTCAAATCATTTTTTAAATTTTACTCGAAAATCAGGCTTTTTTCAAAAAACAAAACAGTACCTAGTAATTTGTAGAATATCTAAAGCCGTTTCCGAGGTCCTTGTAGTGAGAAGCGAATTTGTAACAGCCTGTATGCCTAGGAACAGGAAAATTATGTACTAAAGACTGCCAAACAAAAAAAAATCATAAACATTAAACATATTCCTAAATCATGAATCTAGACCCAAAACATAACC